ATCTTTTAACAATTGAGGCTTCAAGACGATATGGATTCTTCAAATATCCTTTAATATTTTCATGTAATGCTTAAATGAGTACATTCATCTAAGATAAACAAGATTATGGAGATTATTTCCTCACTAAGTAAATAATTAAATGTACCATAATATAAAAAAGTTGGAGGAAAGTACATATCTAATTAACACAAAATGATATAACATTCATTTTTTGATTCATTGAACTCATCAGAGTTAATAACTTTGCTGCAAATAGAATTAAAGAAACTATACAGCCTTGTAATTACATGCCTCACATCATCTTTCAATATGCCTTAAATAGCCATCAGTAATAACTGTTACATCAATACATAGCAATCATGAAACTTCAAGCTTATTAACTTCAAATCTTTTATCGACACAAGATTTTTCACATTAGAAGGATATCTTTATAGCACTTTAATACCATGTAAATACCCATTAAGGCTTACTTTCTCCTTTTTTGAAAGTATGTGGGCTTCTAGGGGCAAATAAGTCCTCTTTTCCTTTTCTTATTGTGCAAATAATCATTCTCTTATTTTCATCTCTGCCAAATCTAGTCTAGTATTAATTCCATCCTTAGTCTTTTCATTAATGTGCAGAAGTGTACCTACAAGACCATCACAAATAGTTTTCTTTACATGTATCATATCAAGACACCACCAACATGAAAGACAAAAGAAAATAGACTTCTTTTTTAACAAATTCTTCTCAATTGCAATCTTTTAATTCTTACTATAGGTTACATTAATCTTCTTCACCCATTTGTAAACTTGTTCCCTAATTAATGATTTGGGAGTAAAATCATGTTCTTGTGAGTCGTTAAAAGCTTTTTTTAATCTATAATAAGGATGGTACCAATCAAAAAATCTTCTATGATCAAGGTAGATCGTCTTCTTTTAGTACTTCAGATGATAAGTATGTGTGCCTTCTTCATAAATAAGACATGTTTTATGTCCCTTGACATTGTACCCAAAAAAATTTTCATATCTAAGAAAGTCATTTATTGTGCAAAATATTATGGCATATAGTTTAAAGGATTGCTGTCAATAAGCATAAAAAATATTGATACCCTCCTCCCACATCATCTTTAAATCCTCAATCAAGGGTGCCAAATAGACATTGATATCATTTTTATGTTGTTTTGGTCTTAAGATCATCATGGTTAACATTATATACTTACATTTCATACTCAACTCATGAGGTAAATTGTAAATAACCAAGAAAATTGGCCACATACTGTGTGTTGCTGAGATTACCAAAAGGATTAATTCTATCAGTACAGAATCCAAATTGAAGGTTTCTTAGCACGCTACCAAAATTAAGAAATTTTTGATCTATTGTCTTCCATTGAGAAGGAGAATCAGTCAACTGCTAAATTTTACCATCAGATATTATCTTATCAAAATAATCATATCAAGTTCTTTACATCCTTAGCATTAGAAAACAAATGCTCAAATTCTGATATTATTAGAAGATACTATGGCACCTTCAAGGGTAATCCATTCTCATTATCATCACTACTTACATCCTTATTTACTTTGCATCATGACATCCTATATTTTGGACACTTTTGCATACTCATTTTTGTACAATATACAATCATTAGGACAATTGTATATTTTTTATATTGCATACCCATTGATCACAAGATTTTTTTAGCCTCATAATAAGCACATTACCATTGGGAAACATATCTCCCAACAATTCAAGCAACTAAATAAAACTTGTATCGATCTACCCATATCTTGCTTTTAAGTTAACCAATCTTAACACACTTATCAAATGTGTATATTATTTATACCCCAAATACAAAAGGCTACTCTGCATCGCTTTGTAAACTCTTGTATGCATATGCTTGTGTAAAGGATTTCATTTCAATATCAGGGATCATATCTTCTATTCATCATCTTAGGCATTCTCACCTACTTCATTCTCTTGGAACATAGAACCCAATCATTCAGTTTCACCATGCCCATTTTTTATACCTTAAATTTATCTCATCACAAAGCAAGTGCTTTCTTATTTCATTAATACCTAGTCGACTCTCATTTACACATTTTACACATGAATAAAAATATAATCCATTTTTACGAGGAACATGTCTTTTAGCAAATTCAAGAAAATATTCAACCATGTTATTATATTCTTCACTTGTTCTTCTAGCATTCATCCAACTGCAATTCCTTGTTTAACTACCTAATTAATCAACATAAAAAAGTTATATTCAAAAATTTCTTAACTTAATTTAAAAATTTTGACAGAGTTTTCCATTAAAAAAATGACTTCCCAAAATTTCAACACTCATAAAATGGAACACTATAAACTCAATAACAAATAAACTCAACAACAAATAGAAATATCCAACAACAATTATAAATATATATTAGAAACAAATCAATCACAATACCAAAATATAAGCTTTATAAAATTATAAAAAATCAAATCATTTCAAATCTCGTCAACAATGAAGTTCTAATCAAACTCTCAAGTATTATAAAATTTAAGTATTATAAAAATTTTAAAAAAATTGACAAAGTGTCCCTTAAAATTAGACATCCTAAAATTTCAACAGTTACAAATATCATTCAGCAACAAATGAAAATAAGCAACATTCCAAAGAAAATAATTATAATAAATTAAAATTAAAATCACAAATACCCATCTAATATGTATTTCACAAGTTAATGGAAAATTAGAAAAACTAAAGATTAAACTTACTTGGAGTTGACAGTTGAAGAAAGTGGAATTCAAAAACCTTAACAACTTCAACAATGTAAGAAGAAGGAAGAAGAAATCATCCATTAAAAAAATTGAAGCATCAAACCAAAAACAAAAAGATAAAAAAGAATATTTTAACGACAATGGAAGGATAGGGAAGCAGGAGGAGGTAAGTGGAGGCGCACCAGTGGACCAAAGAGACGATGACAACAACGATTAAAGAGATGCAGGGAGAAAGAGGAGGAGCAACAGCGCTTTGAAACAGAAGGAACGCGGAAAGGCGAGTACGGCACGGCAAGGATATGACGACACAATGTGCGGCAAATGACAGACGCGTGACTCAAATATGGAAGCTTTTACTGTGTGGGAGAGAGAGAGAGCAAAGCCAGCAGAGGAAAAGACGATCGAAAACTGAACAACTGCGGCACGTCTGTTCAGTTTTTAAATTAGAAACAACATTAGTTCACCAATGCCGCTTCGATTATATATTGGTTTTTTTAATACTTCTTTTAAAAATATAAAATATTTTTTTTTAAAAAAATTAAATATTTAAAAATATAAAGCATTTTTAGTTTTTTAAAATATAATCATTACTTTTTTTTAAAAGTACCCTTATTAATAATAATTTTATATTTATTACAGGGTGTTTAATAGGAGTAAATATAAAAAGATAAAATTAATTAAAAAATAATTAATTATTTGATTGAGAGATAAAATTTGATTAAAAATATTATATATTTTTTGAATGGAGGAAGTAACAGCTATGTATAATTTTTTTGGTAGTGGTGGCTAGCTAGTTGCTTTAGTAGTATTGGCACCTTAATGTAAGTATGATGTCTAGGATACCAGCCATGTACTGGATTGTAAATATTAAATTGATTACTTAAAAAAACAAGAAAAAATTCACTAATTAGCAGGGAAGAAGTTATTAAATTATTGTAAAAATATAATAAAGTTAACTATTAAAGGAAAAACATAAATTGTGTAATCCAATGGCAAGTTATCTGAGCGGCAATGCTGCCTCCCTGCTGGCTTAAGATACAATACTAAATTTCACCTTAATAAAATATTTACCTACTTTTTAATAATGTAAGATATTTTTAATCAAATTTCACCTCAATGAAATATTTACCTACTTTTTAATTAATTTTATCTTTTCATATTTATCCATATTAAATATCTAATAATAAATATAAAGTCATTATCAATAGGGACGCTTTAAAAAAAAAGATAATAATTATACCTTAAAAAATTAAAAATATTTATATTTTTAAATATTTAACTCCTTAAAAAATATTTTATATTTTTAAACAAAGAGAATATAAATTTTCACGTAAGGAAAGTTTAAATAGTAAGGTGAATTGCTGGTCCAAAAAAAGAAAAACAGTAAGGTGAGGGAAATTTGAGCGGAGGTTAGGTTTTAAGAACTTTTAATATAATAATAAAAATTACATTAATGTCTTATGGTATTATATGTTTTAATCAATAGAACTGAAAAAAATATAATAAATTGCATTAATTATGAATTTGTAAATTATAAATGTTAATTAATAATAATTATTTATTCTTTCATTAATATTAATAACTTTTCATATTATTAATAATATTTTTTTTTAATTTTATTTATAAAATGAACCACGTCATTAAAATTTTTAATCAATTTTTTTATTTTTTATTAAATATTATAAAAAAATATATTATTAAAATATATATATATTTAAAAGCGATAACATTAATAATTTATTAAATTTTAAGATAAAATTAATAAATTTTTTAATAAAAAATGTTAAAAATAAGTTAATAAATTTTAATATTTTTTTATTATTAATAAAATATATTAAAAATAATTTATAAATAAATGATGTATGATTTATTCTGCAGGAAAGCGATTTTTCCTATATTTTCAAGCGCCTTAGTGATTTGGACGATTTTTACCCTCTCGGGAGCAGCACCCCTAACTCAGCCGTGCGCTAGAAAAGCTGCGGATTCCATTAATCGGGAGGTGTTCGTTCGAAAACCCTAAATATATTCCCAGTTGTATTCTCCAGAAACGCACTTCAATCTCTTTATCACGGGCTCGCCGACAAGGGTAAGCATCATGGTCTTCATATTTTTATACTCTCAGAGGATTTTCCTGTAAATCACTTTCCGCTAAAATTTACACGTATTTCTCATTCCTTAGGATTCGGTTTAATTGGTTGGTTTTTTAGTTTGGATGCTTTTGATTTCTAGAAATTCGTCTTCGTGGTTTGGTTTTCCCAGATTTAGAGTGAGAGAAAAGTGGCGATGGCGGGGAAAGAAGAAAACCGTATATTTGTGGGAGGCTTGTCTTGGGACGTAACGGAGCGTCAGCTCGAGCATGCCTTTAGTCGTTGCGGGAAAGTTATTGAATGCCAGGTACCATATTCGTTGAATTTTGTTTTTCCGTCATGTTTGGTTGTTCAGAAAAATGGGCAATAGGTAATTCATGTGTTTATCTTCCTTTGTAATTGCTATTGTGGCTGTACTAGTTAGCAATGGTGAAATTGGAATAATTTCTCTAGTAGGACAATGTGAGATTTGCAGTTCCGTGTCATTCTGTTAATTCAGCATTGAAAGAAAGAGAACGACTATGCATGAGCGCCTGCTAATTGTATGGCGTGCGAAAATGATTAAGTAAGAGTAACAGACATAAAGAAAATTAATCTATCTGAAGTCTAAACCAAAGATTCTTGATAAAATTGCATGTTGCTGTGTTCTTCATTTCCGTAACTCGGTTTCCTTTAGTCGCAGCTGCGAATTATTGAAAAATTCTTTTTGAAATTATTTTAATTTATAGTAGCATGTGAACATGGAGGAGAAAGTATTGCTCTTTGCCTATGATTGATGATGAGAGGTCCCTGTTTGTGCCCCGGTTTTTTTCATTACTAGAAGTAACAAGTGTAACGCATGATTTAGTAGATCTTCCATGAATTTTAAAGTTTTAATGTTATATTTTTCTTAAAGTTGATTTGATGCAACAGCAGCACTTTTTTGGATGGATAATAGCCTTAAAAATTTGTTTTTTCATGCGAAACTTTGCAAGGGCTCATGATTACTTTACTCGTGGATGTCTCATTGTAATATTCCACTAGTCATAATGTCATCTATAGAGTAAACTTGTGCCATCGCACGGACCGGAACATTATTGCTGTCTTTTGTCTACTTGTAACTGATATTTTTAATATTTTTTTTAAAAAAATCTATGGTTTTACATGTTTTATAAATTTATCTCCAACACTGAATTTTGTCTTCATGTAATTAATTCTTTCTTTTCTTTTTTGGGAAACTATGATACAGCCAGCACTCACACTTACGTACAGGCAGCATTCACATTAATTCTTATTATGGTGAAGTTCAAGCTGAATATAAATGTGGTTTTGGATATGTGAAATTGGTGCATGGAAGAATTTTAAGAAAATCAGACTGACCTGTTTGGTGTTTGTCAAAGGGACTTCTTATGAGTGATAGGTGCCAAGTTTGAGATTCATAAGTAAATTCATTATAATGGGAATGGCTTGGGCGGTTAGACTATGCTGATCAGTGGACAAGTTTTATATTAGAGCATGCCTGGATTTTGTGCTGTTGAAGTGGAACTGTGATTGAATTTGTTCAATTGAGCGATATATATCTCTTTTGCATAAGGAATTGTTTTCCCCTTTCCAATCAAAAGAAATCAATTCCTTGTCTGTACATTGGCCTCCATCGGTCACTATTATGTGGCAGTGATGATTACTTTGATACAAGCACTTCTTGTGCTGAATATTTCTCTTTTTAGCTCTAGACCCAGTTTTAATGTTTGATAAAAATTTAATTAGATCATAGAGAGTCAGAACAGAAGTTAAAGTATCATTTGATGCTTCTAGCTTTTCTGTCAGTTTAGTTTCTCCATATATATATATATATATATATAAATGTTACAAGCACTGCTTCCAATATGTTTGATTACTAATTATAGAGGCAGGGGCAGCAGATATGCCAACTTACACGCACACGAGAGTTCTGGTGAAATTACATTTTTAGTGATCTCTGGATTTAAGGTGGCATCTCTGCTCCATGCGTTTGATTGAGATATGGATTCCCTGCTGGCTAATGTGACCAGAGATAATGTCTGGGAGCTATGCTGTTTGTTTCTAACAGCTGAATGGTTGGCCATAAATTTGCTTAGTGAAATCTTTTCCATAGGACCTTTCAAAAGGTGCTAGGATTGTGTGATGCTATGTAGATCAGTTGGTGGTTTTTTGTGCCAGTTCGAAGTTTTATATGTTCGAATTCAGTTGAGGAACCTGATCTTTCCACAACTTGGAGAGTTTATAATACTTTCTCAATGGAACCTAAAACACATTTAATCAGAAATTTTCTCTAGCCTGGAAGAGTTGATGTCACAGAGGCTCAATTGAGGACCTGTGGGTACTGCGTTTGACCATCAAGAGGTTCCTAATTGTCACAGGTCCTTTGGATGCTTAAAGTGCTGGAGGTTGAATGCGATTGATTTCAATGTTTGAATATAGTTAACTGGTCAGAGGGGTTTTTGATTTTGAGTGCTGCTGCTTTTGTCACTGTTTTTTACCTGGCTCCCACATAAGACTGATTTTTCTGTCACCTTGCTGGTATGCTAAGTCAGTAAAGAGGCAGAAGAACTACCTACATGTTAGGCATATAATCCACCAGAATGAAAAACTCTGAACGTTACACTTTTGTCTCACATTTACTCAAAGATTATTGCTGCATAAGATTGCCTTCCCTTTGAGTTAACTAAGTGAAGAAGGAAGAAGAATTTCATACTGAGAAAAGGAATGATCCTCAGAGCTAATATAGTCAATATTGCACCTGTCTTGATTGTTGCCAATTCTGAATTTCGGAAACTTGATTGCTGCCAGAGATATTTTGTTTTGAGATATCCCATGTGATATTTATTATAAAATTGGATTTGGGACAGAGTGAATGCCGACTGCAGGAATGGAAGAAACCTTTGGGTTTTTGATGATTTGTTGTTATTTTTTGGCTACCCATTGTTTATACTTTCCTGTTTTCAAGTGGGAAAATAATAGTGCCCATTATAACACAGATTCTGATTGTGTAAGTCGGATGTTATTATTTTGCATTGAGAGACTGTTTAAAGGTCCATCAATCAATGAAGTTCTGAACTGCTATGGAATGTGATGAAATTGTTGCCCGGATTGGGGAAGTAATTGTTGTATGAGGTATTTTGGTGTCGCACAATTATGGGTTTTGGATGAATTGAATTGCTTAGCTCTATGAATATTCTTCCAGTGCTTTGTCACCATGACTCAAAGTAAGTCGTCTGACTACGATTTCTTCTTGTTAAATGATTCCAGCACGTCACTTTTCACTGAATTATCCTTTTAGGTAAAATACTGAAATTAACTCTCCGACAGACAACATTCTGCAATTAGGGTTTGCTCATCTTTGTATACACCTCATTCTATTTTGAATGGGGCATCAAATAATATGATGTTTATTTCAAATATAGTGATATTGAGTAGGAGGTTATGTGGCAACTAGCAACTTTTTATTTCTTAATTTTTAGTTTCAGTGCTATAAATCTATATATAATTAGAGTAGCTCTAGCTCCAGATTTGCTATTAATTTATGCAGTTTTGACCAACATTCCAGTTATTTGCTGTGTTTCTTATCTAATTTTACCTGCCCAAATAATTGTGTTTATATTCAGCAACTGTTGAAAGTTGTACTTAACTAGCATATTTTCAACATGATTTTGCCTGCACTGGGGTTGTTTGCTATCGTAAATGTCATTGAATTTATTAGCATTAGTTGCACACACTGCTATTGCTTGGCATGAAATTCTTTGCTGGTTCAACCTGTAGATCATGTTGGAAAGGGACACAGGTCGTCCACGTGGATTTGGGTTTATCACATTTGCAGATCGTAGGGGAATGGAGGATGCAATCAAGGAAATGCATGGACGGGAAATTGGTGACCGCATTATCTCTGTCAACAGGGCGCAGCCCAAGATGGGGTCAGATGACCTAGATCATGGTTACTCATCAGGTGGCAGAGGAAACTATGGGGTGGGAGGCAGGGTCGGACAGGATGACTGCTTCAAATGCGGGCGACCTGGCCACTGGGCCCGAGATTGCCCTCTGGCAGGGGGAGGTCGTGGTGGGGGTTCACTTTCTTCACGACCTAGGTTTGGAGGTGCTGGTGGACATGGGGATCGCCTTGGTGAACGTGATCGATTCATTGATGATCGTTATGATGGAGGACGTTTTGGAGACAGGGAACGCTTTGACAGCCGAGATAACAAATATGGCAACCGTGATCACTATTATAGTGACAGGTATGCAAGTTACCACACTTTATTTGCTGCCTGCTTTGATACTTTTTCCATAGTTTTTTTTTGGGAATAAAACTGTCACTATATATTACTCAATGCCTTAGAGGTTAAAAATTACAGGAGGAAAAGAAATGACCAAAGACAGGACCTTTAGGAAAAAAAAAAAACAAAACAAGACAAAAGAGAAACAAGAACTTGGAATTACCCAGGATCACTAATCCCATCAAATTTAACAATTTTTCCTTTGGTATCTCCCTTTTGATAATGTTGCATTTTTCCATAGTTTTCAAACCTCAGTACATTCAACATTTAACAAATTTTCCCTTGGTATCTCCCTTTTGATAATGTGGCATTTTGAAATACCATGATTGCATAAGCATATACATAATCGCATGACATATGAGTTCTATACATGCATCCCTATTGCTAAAGCTTTACTAAAACGGTATAGGTACAGGGCTAGCGGAGATCGGTTTGCAAATGACTCGTATGGTGGTTCAGACCGTTACCCACAAAATAGTTATGGGAAAGATAGAGCCTATGACAGGTATGGCAGTGCAAGAAGTAATGATAGGTACGGAAGTGGAGTACCAGCACGAGATCAAGGAAGGAGTTTTAGGGGCGGCAGACGTGGTGGTCCTTATGACCGTCCAAGCCGGGGTGGTCGTCCGTCTTCGTTTGACCGCTACTGATTGTTTCTTACTGTGTCAACCAGATGTTGAAATAGAGATGCTGCAATAGGGACTCTTTTTTCCATTGAGCGTTGATGACTCTGAACATTGAGTTCCATAGATTTCAGTATTTGTTAGGTTTTATTCTACGCTTTTCGGAGCTTATGCTTATATATCCTAGTGGACGCATTTATCGGCTGTGTTTTAAGAGGAGGGGCAACTCCCTTTTTCAAGGTTGCTAATTGCACATATCATGCCTGCTTAATGCTGGTGATCACATTTATATAAAGTTGCTTAATGTAATCGTATTTTGATTATGTTTTTGTTTTTGGTTCTTAATTGTTTTTTTATTTCATTATTTCCATTCCCTTTGGTTTGATCGGTTTATAACGTATAGTTTTAAAAATGTATATCAAGACCGTGAGCTGATATTGTTAGAGGTAATTTTGTTACTACTCTGTTAACCCTTTGTTGATACAGTAAAAATATGCTGATGACATGTAAATAAATTGACCAGATATGATTAAAAATAAAAGGTAAATAGAAAAAAAGCTTTATTTTATTTGTGGCTTAGATAAAATGTGAGATGAATGTGAGGATTAGTTCATGTTACTCAAGGGGCTAACAGAATTAAATACAAGTAAAATAAAATTTATCCGTGTTAAACCATGGCCCTTGCGTGCTTTTTTAAAATTGACCAACGTCGTAGACAAATTAATTTAAAGGGATTGGAAACAACAAAATAAAATTATTAAAATTAAAAACAAATCAATTGAAGTACATAGACTTATCATTATATTTTTCTAAAAAAAAGTACGTTTATCTGGTAGGTTTGTGCGAGGATAAATTGTAAATTTTTTTCCCTACAAAATTGCAGAATTAGTGAACTCTTGATTTATGCCATGCGGTTACTTTGCAAGAAATATCTTGCCTTGCTTGAACCGCAACAAAGTAAGAGCAAATGGCATTAGCCAGGAAGCGACAATCATTATGTGATATTATTTTTATAAGGATTAAACGGCTTGCGATACAGGGTTATGATTTTTCAATTAGCACAGGAAGCAGTCAAAGTATGATAGAGGATGCTTGCAAGTCGTTTAAGGGCTTGTTTGATTTCTGTTTTTATTTTTTATTTTTAAAAACTGTTTTATAATATAGTTTTTAAAATTATTTTTAAAACAAAATAAAATAAAAATACATTGGGTTATGTCAATTAAAAAACAGATTTAAAATTAAAAAATGGATTGATAGTAATAGTTATAGATATTTAATGGTTGTGATTAATATTAAAAATTAGTCAAGGTAACTATAATTTTCAGTAATCAAACTTATTATATTTTAAAAACAAGAAAAATAAAATGAAAACAACTTAAAGTTTTCATTTTATTTTTCTTGTTTTTAAAAACAACAAATGAAAACAGTTTTAAAAATAATTAAATGAAAAACACTTACTAAAATATTTTAATTTTTTTTGTGTACAAAAACAAAAAACAAACACCATCTAAGTCTCTTAATCCTCAAAGATTAATATACTTAAAGCGCAATTTCATTATTGTATTCATTCAGAGCTTCAACCAAAAAGCTCCACCATTTTACATGATATTACATTGGGCTTCTAAATTTTCTTGCAGCCACTTAGAAGTCCAACAAGTAGAGCTGCATCAATGGGCTTTTGAGATTAGATTGGACTTCAATCATTTATGTAACTTTCTCCAACTCATATGCCTTTCACCTTGTTACTCATTGCCATGGATTGTATGTTATGCTTTTCAGACTACCATCTCATTGTTGATAGAAGTATTGCTATTTATTTGGTGGAAGATGTTACTCTTCCAAGCAACATTGCAGTCCTTTGAGGATGCATTCCAACGTTGCTTCATTTTCAATACTTATGTAATTGCGGAGAATCCTTGCAAGGAGAGGTTTCATTGGCAATACACGATGGTATTGGTCGAATCCTGATGTTTGTTTATGTCCTAATGTTTATGTATTTTGATTTGTCTGCCTCATTTCTTCAGACTTTAGATACCTTAGATCCCGTTTGGTTATTAAAAATAAATGAAACAGAATAAATTAAAAAAATAAAAGTAAAAATGAGATAATAAAAAAAAATAGTCAACCAAATTTATAAAGATTAGAGTAATTTAATTCATGAGATTAGAAATTATGATTCATGAAATTTTTAGAGGGTATGGTGATTCTCACTTTATAATATATATCAATGAGTTTTTTCATATTTGCTATGAGGAGAAAGAGTTATTTAGTTTATTTTTATATTAATTTTTTAGATTAATTTTATTTCATTTTTTTAATAACCAAACGAAACTTAAATTTTCATGTATTAACCGTTTTCTCTTAATATAAGTTTGGTTGATATTAAAAAAAAAAAATGCATGAGCATAGAGCATGACGTCAAAATTGAGAATAAAGAACTTGGGGTAAACAGTCGTCTTTCACGTTTTTAAGTATTAAAGTTACACACACACACACACACACACAAAATAAAAATACATGGAAGCTGCTTTTCTTTTTCTTTTAAATACCTGAGCAAACTTCTGTTACAACTCAAAAACAATTCTCTCCCTCGTATACTTATTATAAGGTAGCTGTATTTTTTTAAACTTTTATATTTCAATTTATAAAGTGTTTTACAAAATGTTCCAAGCAAATAAAAATTACTTAATTTCTATTAATTTAATTCATTTCCTATTTAAAGCGTTAACTGTATTTAGTGAAGAATATATTTGAAAAAAAATTAAAATGTCTTGGGGACAGTAACTATATTGTGTTAGTTTTATGAACTAGTTAAGAATAACTGGTAAATTGGTAATGATAAATGGAGAGGACATCTATATGTATATAAAATCAGGATTTCCAAGTACACATCCCATATTATGAAATCATGTCAACTCCCTATTTTCCTCTTGTGATGACACGTAGATGCTGGATGATTAACTTTGTAGAAATAAATTATTATTTCCTTAAGGTTATATTTAAAAATATACTGCATGCATTTAATTAACGCATACAATGCCTTAATTTTGAAATTTGATTTTTTCATTTATTGAAAATATGATCAAAAATTTCAATCTACTTTTTTAGAATAATTGTAATTAATATTTTTCCTACCAACTGATCATCACCATCCAATCACATTGAATATTATTTCTATTACAACGTATAATTACTATTGTACTTTTGCATTTAAAAATTAGGTAACCATTGTTATCTGCAATTATTTCCATCAATATCAACAATTCCTATTCCCATTTAAAAATATTATCCTCCCGTGTTGCATCTAAATATCAAATCGGAGAGCAATTGTGAAAACTTATCGTTCCTATTATTACCCATAATTAATGATTCATTATATATAAAATCTGGATTCCCAAACACACGTACCAGCATATCATGAAGCCATGTCAGCTTCTTGTTTTCCTCTTGTGATGGATGCTGGATGATTAATTTTGTAGAAGTAAGTTATTATTTCCTTAAGGTTGCGTTTGAAAAAATACTATGTGCATTTAATTAGCGCATACAATGCCTTAATTTTGGAATTTGATTTTTTCATTTCTTGAAAATATGATCAAAAATTTCAATATATTTTTTTAGAATAATTGTAATTAATATTTTTACTGCCAACTGATGATCATCATCATCCAATCTTATTGAATACTATTCCTATTACAACCTATAATTACTGTTGTGCTTTTGCATTTAAAAATTAGGTAACCATTGTTATCTGCAATTATTTCCATCAACATCTACAATTCCTATTCCCATTTAAAAATAGTATCCTCCCGTGTTGCATCCAAATATCAAATCATAGAGCAATTTTGAAAACTTATCATTCCTATTATCACCCGTAATTAATGATTCATCTCTCTCTCACATACACACACGCACACGTGCACGCGCACGTGCACACACAAAATCTGGATTTCCAAGCACATGTGCTAGCAAATTATGAAACCATGTCAGCCCCCTGTTTTCCTCTTATGATGACAAGTAGATACTGGATGGTTAATTTTGTAGAAAGAAGTTATTATTTCCTTAAGGCTACATTTTAAAATATACAGCATGCATTTAATTAACGCATGCAATGCCTTAATTTTGGAATTTGATTTTTTCATTTATTGAAAATATGATAAAAAATTTCAATCTAGTTTTTTGGAATAATTGCAATTAATATTTTTATTGCCAACTGATCATCATCATCCAATCACATTGAATACTATTCCTATTACAACCTATAATTACTATTGTGCTTTCGCATTTAAAAATTCGGTAATCATTGTTATCTGCAATTATTTCCATCAACATCTGCAATTCCTATTCCCATTTAAAAATATTATCCTTTCGTGTTGCATGTAAATATTAAATCATACAGCAATTTTGAAAACTTATCATTCCTATTATCACCCGTAATTAATGATTCATATATATATATATATATATATATAATAGTAGATATTTAATTTATTTCTTATAATTGTCTGGAATGTGAAAATACTGTCATTCAAAAGAATATATATATATATATATATATATTAATTATGGTCATTGACTTATGTTAGTTTTGTTGATATAAATCTTACTTGATAAACACGCACGGTAATTTCCTCCTCAAATATTTCATAGCATATAATTTTATAGACTAATATATATTGGAACGAAACTTGGAATAAATTGCAGTATATCACATTGATTGCATTTAACTCCATAAATTCATTTAATGTCGACCTACTTAAATTTATTTTCAAACAATCCAGATATTTAAATTTGCAAGTTGCGTGAATACTTCAAACATATACATTGGACTATATATATAGTGGTATTTCTTTCTTTCTTTCTCACGCAACTTCAAACATATACATTGGACTATATATATAGTGGTATTTCTTTCTTTCTTTCTTTCTTTCTTTTTTTTTTTGCCAAATATAGATAGTGGTATTTCAATTGCACATTTTCTTTCTTTCTTTTTTTTTTATCTTTATTTTGTTATAAAAACAACTAAAATAAGAAATATTATGCTTCCATGTAGGATCCATGAATTTCTCAGGTTGAGTCATGTGGATGAAAAAATTGCCTGTTTTGTGCATTTACTGGCATAATGTTTATAACTCTTATTTTGATTCACTTATTTCCAAAACGAAAAATTTGGTTTGACTCTTATTTAATTAATATCAATAAATGATATTACTTAATTATAATTAGTGATGGTAAAGGGAAACTTTCAAGGTCAAAAAATAATAACTAATTGAAAGTTGAGATTTCAAATCAAAACTAGTAAATCACCCGTGCGTTGCATGGGATG